TTTAATTTTTTTTACAAAAAGTATTGACTCTAAATTTTTGAACAGAAGTGTATTCTTATTCAATTGGATGATATGCTATTTTGTGTACGTTGCAGCCACTTATTGTGAAAATTACACACGACTTAAACTCTAAGCATATTTATTTTGCCGCATGTATTAAAAGGCTACTCCAGACCTGCCAACCAAGCGGCAACATTCTAATCTGAAGAATGAAGCCTACCAGGAAGTGCGAAAAACTAGCCTTGGATGCTAGACCTACATCAGGATGTTAGGTCTGGGAACTCATCAATGACAGGGCTCAATCCGAGGGGCAGGATAAACGGTTGTCTTTCAATTTTTCTCTCTTGAAATTTGTTAAATGACGGACGTTTTACTGTTAACACAGCTCTATGTCGGATTGGTCTAAACTTATAATTGATAAGTGATTCGTTTTGCTGTCAACTGTTTCATTGTCAACTGTTTTCTATAAGTATGTATTGGCTAACGTTTATTCAGCTAATGCATGTCCTGTTTAAAATGTGCAATGTTCAAATGCAAACACAGCACGTCACAAATTAATGCCCTTTTTTTTCCTGAGGGATTTAGTATCATATTTGGATATTGCCATGCAATAATAAATTAAGTAGCTCTATCTCAAATGTACACATCTATTTTATTTTTTTACTTTTTTTACTGTTTCTTATGACTAGTTGACCAGCACACATTATATGTAATGCAAGTTGAATTTTAAAACTTTATCAGTCAAAACTAGAATTATGGAGATTGGCATGTGTTTGTGTGTATCTTGCATTGTCTCAAAAAATTATGACAAAAATAATGCCTGTTAATAATGCATGTCACCTAATAGCCTAGCTTAAGTCTGTAAAACTCCTGTTGAAAAGACCGGCATTGTTTTGTTTTGCATCATGGATTGCTGGTATGCTGTTGTAAAGCCTTCTGAACAGTTTATACACACTTTAAAACCGAATGAAATGAAACTGAAATGTGTTCATTCACTAAAATTTTACTAAATATATTTTAAAATGTAATTTGTTCTTTTTGTTCTTAAAATCATTACTGTTGCTGATTATGCATCAGTTTTCAGTGTCACATGATCCTTCAGAAATCATTCTAATATGCTGATTTTATGCTCAAAAAGAATAAATTATTATTTTCAATGTTGAAAACAGTCGTGTACAATTCCCCCCCCCCCAAAAAAAAATTCTATGATGAATAGAAAGTTCAAAAGAGAGCAGCATTTATTTAAAATATAATCTTTTCTAACATTATAAATGTCTTTACTGTAACTTTTGATCAATTTAACTCATCCTTGATGAATAAAAGTATGTTCTAATTTCTTTCCCCCAAAAATAAAAAATAAATTCTTACTGACCCCAAACTTTTGAATGTTAGTGATTAATGTTACAAAAGCTTTCCATTTCAGATCAATTCTGTTCTTTTTGAACTTTCTATTCATCAAAGAATCCTGAAATAAAAATGTAAAAAAACTGTTTTCAACATGGATAATAATCATAAATGTTTCGTGAGCATCATGTTATAATAATTTCTATAGGATCATGTGATACTGAAGACTGGAGTAATGATGCTGTAAATTCAGCTTTGATCACAGGAATAAATTACACTTCACTATATATTCACATGGAAAACCACTGTTTTAAATTATAATAATATTTCACAATATTACTGTTTTTTTTAAATATTTTTTATCAAATAATTGCAGCCTTGATGAACAGAAGAGACTTACGATCTAATCTTACGATCTAAAACTTTTGACCGGTAGTGTATTTAAAGGTATTTTATATTTCTATGTATAAACAGTATTCGAATAAATCTAAATTTAAAGTTAATTACCTCATTTTTTTTTTTTTTTTTTTGCCGAATTATTATGGTTTACAGTGCAGCAAACTTTCCTTAGTCAGCAAGTTTTAACAGAGAAAGAAGGTTACGGTGGCCCACCAGTTAGACCACCACCACACCAGCACTAACCCGTTTGTACCAGCATGCTCTTTTCCGGCGGTTTCTAACAATATGCACTATTTGTCCAGCTTTAAACTTTACCTGGGATGATTAAATTTAAAGTTGTGTGGCTCATCTGCCTCTCATTGATCAATCTGAAAGTATGGAACTGACTGTCATTGAGTTATAAGCAGATTTGGAATCTCTCTCTCTCTCTATCCCTCTTTTTTTTTTGATTGATGCCATTTTAATTGGTCCCATGCTGTGCTCTGGCTGGGTTGGAGAGTGCTTGTGGGTGGCGTGTCTGAGGCTGAAGTGGCATTGGCGTGGGTGGAGGCTGCCCCAAGCTCCTCTTGGCTGTCTGACCGTGGGCGAATACAACCGTTCGGCTCAAACTCTCATCAGCTCAGCCTTCCGCAAGCCAGTCCGGAGAATAGTGGCGAAATATACACAAATTAAAAAAGAGGAACAGAGAGGTGTGGAAGGATGAGTATAGTGTGGATGGAAAGGAGAGACTGTGGTTTAGTGGAGCGCACGTGCACGTCGTCCCTGGTCACCATGGACACTAGGGAAAGTGTTCATGCATTTTCACCTGCTGAATGTCATCAGACTTGAATGAGAGCGATAATGATTGTAAAGGTGTATACACCTTCATCACGTCTCTTTTACGTATACTGTATATAACCCCAACTATATGTATATATTGTATTATTACATGTTGCTAAGCTAACAGCATGATGTTAAATTATAAAATAGTTATTTTTAAACTATAAAAAAATAATCTGTCACTTTGTCCACTGTTTTGGGTGAACTTTTTCACTGAGCTTGCTACGGTCTATTCCAGGTTTGCCTTCTCTGTGAAAGATACATTTACATTTTACATTTATTAACTCAGCTGACACTTTTATCCAAAGCGACTTACAATTGCTATATTTGTCAGAGGTCGCACACCTCTGGAGCAACTAGGGGTTAAGTGTCTTTATCAGGGACACATTGGTGTCACACAGTGGATGCGAACCCGGGTCTATCACACCAAAGGCATGTGCGCCATGTGATGCTGCCTTGGTCAAAATCTCTAAAGAAAGCATCATTTTATTGCATAACTGTCTTCATGTTGGGCCTTAAAATGCTGTCTAGTTAGTCAGCACACTAGGTTTTAAAACAGAACTATTGACTTCCTCCCTACCTCATGTTCATGTCAATGAAATAATGGCGACTAGATCTGTAAAGTGAATACAGAGAGTATGTTATCATGAACTGTTATCATATCTTCTCTTTCAGCGTGACTGTGTGTGGTCTACTAAGGTGAACAGTGTTGTGCTGGGAGGTATAGGTGTGTTCTGGTTAAGCCCTGCTTTTTGAGCAGATGGATAATGTATTATGTAAGCACATCTATCCCACTAATGGCCCTTTTAGCTGCTACGCTGTTCTCCTGAGCAGCTGCCCGCTCCAGAAGACAGGACGCTCTCTGATATCAGACAAAACAAGCACACAACTTGCCTCAGGAGCACCCTGACATGAGACAGAACTCGAATACACGCAGACGTTCACGCACACTTTTACAGATGGTCCCCCAGGATGCTTGAAATGGTAATTGTGCTGAGCCTAGTCACTCTATGGGGGCTGCTTGCCACCCTATGGGGATTCGTAGCTGTAATCACACCTCTGCAGCAGCTCCTCTTACAGACCGCGTTAAAATAATGCAGCCCACACATACGCTGCTGTACTGAACGACAAGGAGTGTGGGAGGAGTTGGATGGCAGGTTTATTGGAACCAAACAAGAGGGAGAAACTACTCTTTTTCAAAGGAAACCACTCTCTCTGACACACACACACACACACTCATTGACGGACACAGGGCACTTTATGGACACCGCCATAACACACATAGTGATGTGAATGTAATTTCACAGTTGTTGGTCTGATGAAGGAACGCTGTCCCCCTCAAAGGCATCACCTGACTGTTGGAATGCATGGAGCTGTGGTGGTGGGTCACATGGTTGGTCAGGTGGTCCTCGGCCACCGGTTTCTCTCATGATCAACACACATACACAATTACTGCAGCCCTCAAATGGGGCAAAGTGAGGGGAAGAGTTGCTTGAGAATCAATGATGTGTTTGTTCACTTTCTTTGCTGGCTTGGTTAACTTTAGATCATGAGGCTTCTTGAGGAGCGCTCTGTTTGGTGGTGCCCAGGGTTCAAGTTGTGTGGATGTGAATGTGATTTATCTTTGATGGAGAGCTTAAGGTGACGTGTAATGGCAAAACAGAAGCGCAAAAATGATGATTGTTTTTAAACAGGTTCTCTTAAACACTCACTCATGTCTGCTATTGGTTGAAGTAACAGGTAGCTCCGCCCCACGCTCACACCATCGGTTGGACTAATTTTTCAATGTCAGGCTGGTAGTGATGTATGAAAAAATGTAAAAATTGAATTTCATTGAAACATTATATTCAATAGAAGTCTCCAAATTTATTTGGTCAAAAATAGAGTAAAGTATATTGGGAAATGATTACAATTTAAAATAATGGTTATATGTATTTTTATATATTTAATATATTATGTTAATGTGTGTTTTTTTTTTTTTTTTTTTTTTTTTTTTTTTGTGATCCTTCCGAAATCATTCCAATGCTAATTTGGTTAGCAAGCTAAATTTTGTATTATTATCAATGTGGAAAACAGTTGAGCTGCTTTATATATACTTTTAAAGGATTCTTTAACAATTAGAAAGTTTTGTTTGAAATCGAAATCTTTTTTAACAATATAATTGTCTTTGTTGTAACCTTTTATCAGTTAATGTGTTCTTGCTGAAAAAAGTATTCATTTATTTTTAAAAAAAACAACAACTGGTAGTGGTAGTGTAGCCATTTTTTAAAAATTTCTTTAGCTATCTGTATAATCCAAACAAATGTAATTTAAAGGGAGAACGGGAAATCGTGGAATATTCTAAAGAACATGTTATGAGTGATGATAAACTAAATATAAACTACATTGCATCCAACACATTCAACTAACTTATCGTTAAATGTCATTTTATTTTGCAGCTGCATCGTCCAATGAAAATGAAGAGAGAGTGTTCCGTGAGCGGATGCGTCCACGAAAACGTCAGGGGGCGGTTCGGAGGCGTGTCCATCAGGTTAACGGTCACAAGTTTATGGCCACCTACCTGAGACAGCCCACCTACTGCTCCCACTGCAGAGATTTCATCTGGTAAGATGAGTGTAGGCCTGCATGCCATCCACAATATCTATGGCTATACTGGATTACTTTTATTATAAGGTCCTTTTCAGATGTATAAATGTCAGATTCAAAGGCAAAACCTGATGCTGATCTCCTGATTACAACAATGGAGTTTGTGTAATGAATATTAATATTGAAAGCAAATTAGAGCCACTGTCCTTTGTGCCATTTCGGAGGGCATTTTAGTGATGTTTATTTTTGTCTCTGCTCTGCAAACAGTTTCTCCCAGTAGTAATAACTGTCCAGTCTAACTATTTGCATACCTAGTGTGTCCCTGTGGCTATACACAATGCTGCTTGTTGCCACTAACAGAATCCGCTATAGAGATTTGTGTTGTAGCACAACCCACCCTCTGCTGGTCGGAAACAAAATTGCTCAATCAGAAGTGTGTCAGAGTTGTTTACCACATTTATTTCTCTGTGGTTCTGCAGGGGTGTGTTGGGGAAACAGGGGTACCAGTGCCAGGGTGAGTAAGACACCCTTCTTTTATGTACAGTGATGATGAAATCAATTATAATATTTCCTGGTTTGATTCATCTTATTGCCATGGAAAAAGTGGTAACATTTTACAAACAGGTCCCATTAGTAAATGCATTATTTAAGATTAAATAACAATGAGCAATACATTTGTTTTATTTATCTAAGTATTACTAAGTATTTATTTATTAAGTATGTATTTATCTTTAATTAGGTAATAAAAATACAACTTTCCATAGTTATTTCATGGTAGCTTAGGTCCATTAAATAATATTAACAAAGATGACTTTTGATGTCATCTTTGAAATGATTAACTCACCCAAAAATGAAATTTCTGTCATTAATTCCTCACCCTTCCTAGCCTGTAATACTTTTTTTTTTTGATCAACCTTTTTTAATTAAATCTAAGAGATTTCTGTCCTTCCATTGACAGTCTACTCAACTACCATTTTAATGCTTCAAAACGTTCAAAAATATTAAACTAATCCATATAAATTGAGCATTTTAGTCTACATTTTCTGAAGAGACTCGATCACTTTATATGATGAAAATATTGAATTTAGGCTTTTATTCACATTTAAACATACTACATCAACTCACACATCAGTTGTGATAAAAGCTGAAGCTTCTTCTCGCATTCGGTTGAGCTTCTGTTCATTTTCGCTGATCAATGTTTATATAAGCCTGAATTCAATCTGTTTATGTTATCATGTCTCTTCAGAAAATTTGGAATAATCAGCTCAATTTATATGGATTAGTTTTACTATCTTTTTATGACCTTTTTGAAGGGACAGAAAGCTCTCAGATTTCATCAAAACTATCTTCATTTGTATTCCAAAGATGAACGAAAGTCTTATGGGTTTGGAACTACATGAGGGTGAGCAATTAATGACAGAATCTTTTTATTTTGGTTGAACTAACCCTTTAATAATGTATTAGTAAATGTTGAAATTTAGATTAATAATCAATCAATTCTTTTGAAGCATTTTCATGGTTAGTTCGTGCTAACTAATGTAAACTTTTTGCCTATTCCTTAAATCTCAGTGTGTACCTGCGTGGTCCATAAGAGATGCCATGAGCTCATCATAACAAAATGCGCTGGTTTAAAGAAACAGGAAGACACTCCTGAAGAGGTAAGTTCTACATTTATCTTTAAAGACTAAGCAATGTTTGAGTTAGCGTACTAGTTTTTGCAGTATGTCAAGTCAAGTCACATTTATTTATATAGCGCTTATTACAATACAGATTGTATCAATGCAGCTTCACAGTGATTACAAGAAAATAATACAACACAGATCAATAATATTGTTGACTATTAAATGTCCCCAACTAAGCAAGCATGTATACTGCAGATCATTTTATGACTTACTACAATTGCCAAACTGTTGACAATTATCACAACAGAAAATATAGCAAGCAGTATGATATGGCTAAATTGACCTTCATTTTACAGTTTGGCAAATAATATCAACCACAATTCTCCTCTCTTTCTTGGAATGTTTAGATAGCATCACACATAACATAATGAGATAACTGTACTGTAGCAAGGTCATGATGATTGTTTTAATTGTTAAAGATTGATGCATTGTATGTAATGTATGTAATAGCACACTGTACAGTGTATGCTAGTTTTCTAAACACAGCCTGTGTAGTACTAGTTTTAGTATCATTTTAAAACTATTATAGTATTTTTATTTTATTTTCAATTGATATTTTAAGGTTTAGTCATTTTTTTAGAATTCCAGTTTTAGTATTGGTACTTATTTTATTTAATGCTTTACTTTATTCTCATTTATAAACATAACATAAATTATTTTTAGGGCCCAGGCACCAATGCTGTGAAAACTCAACTTATTATTAGTAGGGTAACACTTTACAATAAGGTTTCATTTGTTAACATTACATTAGTTGATATAAACTAACAGTGAACAGAACTTCTGCTGCATTTATTGATCTTGTGATCTCAACATTTACTAATACATTATTAAAATCGAACTTTGTATCTGTTAACATTAGTAAATAAACTAATTTGTATTAACTAACATTAGCAAAATGCTGTAAATATATACTGTCACTATTAGTTTATGTAAGTTAATGAATGAACTAATGTTAACAAATGAGAGCTTATTGTAAAGTGTTACCATTACTAGTACAGTATACTGTACAGATACAGTATATGTTTTAGTTAACAATAGTAACATTGAGCCCATGTTCCTAAAACTACTGAAACCTGCACAGGATTTCCTCAGCAGAGAGATCGGTTGAATTGTGAGCATCGTGGCATGAATAATGTTTTGTTTTTACAGGTTGGCTCCCAGCGCTTCAGTGTAAACATTCCACACATGTTCAGCATTCACAATTACAAAGTCCCCACCTTCTGTGACCACTGCGGCTCCTTACTTTGGGGACTGATGCGGCAAGGCCTGCAGTGCAAAGGCAAGCGTTGCAGATACCAGTGATGAATGATTTGTGGTCAAACATCTGCTTTTGTCGCCATATATTCATTTGTCTTCCTGCCTGTTTTCAGCCTGTAAAATGAATGTCCATCGGCGTTGTGAAAGTAATGTAGCTCCTAGCTGTGGTGTCGATGCCAGAAAAATTGCTAAAGTGCTTGCTGATCTTGGGGTGACACCAGACAAAATCTCCAACAGTACCCAACGCAGGAAAAAGGTGAGTGGTATTAAAATTATCTGCACAATGTGGGTTGGCTAAAAACTAAATGATGATGTTATAAGCAGAGGAATAAAATAAATAAAAGTTTGACCACTTTAAATAATGATGCCGTAAAATGAGGCCAGTGATGATTGTGAAAGTGATTTAAAGGATTAGGACATTAAAATATTAAAAACCGAAAAATGTTTTCTCTTCAGTTGACTCCAGGGCAGGACCCTCAGCAATCCACGACAGAAGCCCCTTTATCAGAGGAGTCTGACCGATGCAAATCAGCTCCAACTTCACCCTGCGACCAGGGTACAGAATTACACAAACTCTCTTGCACAAACTCTGCAATCTTACTCTCTCACTATTACACCATTTGTAATTCATTTGCATAATTAAAGGGTTACAGTAGTTCACCCAAAAATGAATATTTAATGAATTATCTGAATATTTTTTTCACCCTCATGTTTCTCTGAACCTGTGGAATACAAAAGGAGACGTTTTTATGAATGTGCTGGTTGCCCTTTAATTGTTCAATTATTTTCTGATTACAATGAATGGAAACTGGAGTTTTTAAGCTTCAAGTGACTTAAAGGAATAGTTCACCCAAAAATTCTAATTACCCCTCAAGCCTTCTTATGTGTACAGTATATGACTTTCTTCTTTCAGCTGAACACAATCAGTGTTATATTAAAATATCCTGGCTCTTCTCAGGTTTGGAATGGCATTGAATAGAGCCTGAGTTTTTGAAGCTCCATCCATCATAAAAGTAATCTATACAACGCCAGTGTGTTAATAAATCTATCTGAAGTGAAATGGTGTTTTTTTTGTTAGAAAAATATCCATCTTTAAAACCTCTAACCCAACGTAGTATTGCAAAGGCGTAGTGTAAGGTTAGGTGAGAGTTGAGAAATGTCGAAATGCAAAGGATATAGAGAATCAAAATGCCGGTCATGAATTAGAAGTCTAAAAGAAAGTTTTAAAGAAAAATGTCAGAGGATTACAATATAATGGCGCCTTTCCATTACCAGTACCAGCTCGACTCGACTCGCTTTTCGTTCCGTTTTCCATTATATAGTACCCGGTCGTCATAGCGACGCTTTTCGTTTGTCGTTGCCCCATCAAGCTCTCGCTGGATCCTCTCTTCGGCAACCAAACAAAGTCTGCACCTCCTCATTAGACCACGGCGTATTCTTTCGAGTTGCCATAATAATAGTAGTTAGTTTAGTAACTATCTCTAGCCAAAAAATTTAAAAATGGCGGGGTTATTCTGGATATATCTGGCATGTGCAATGAATAGTGACGATTCTTTCTGACCAATCAGCAGTCGGCATTGTTTTCGTGTCACATTTAAGTATCGCCTCAGCTTGCCTTAACTCGCTCAGAACCTCGCCGGAGGTGATACAAAAAAAGTACCTGAAAGCAGAAAAAAAGTACCTGAAACTTTTACACAGTGGAAAACCAAACAAGCTGGTAGCCTACTGTGGAAAAGCGGCATAAGAGAAGAGGAGCTACATCCTATGTCGTATAGACCATTTTGCAAGATGTAAACAACACTGGTCCAGAAGCACTTCCTGTTTCAGTTTTTTAACACTACATAAAAGCTGGGATAAAATACAACCAACAGAACATTTAAAACTGAATCAAAAAGTTGTTTTCTTTACATGTGAAATAAAGAAAACAGTTACAAACTAAAACAGGAAGTGTTTCTGGACCAGTGTTGTTTACATCTTGTGAAATGGTCCATTCCGCAAGAACTCGAACGTCTCAGTAACACATGTACAACTGTTGCATGAAGCCAGTGATTATAGTTTATAAAGTTTTAAATATGGATATTTTTCTTACAAAACCCCATCGCTTCACTTCATAAGTCATTTATTAACCTGAAATCTAAAGTAAAACTGAAATTTAAAGTCTTTGGCGGGAATTCAGATATAGTAATTGGGGTTTTGTTTCGGATGCATGCTGTAAGCAGTAGACCAATCACAACAGATTGGGCCATCTGACCAATCAGAGCAGAGCTAGGCTCCCGAAAAGGTGGGGTTTAGAGAGATCAAGTCCTTGATCAAACTGTTTCAGACACTGTGAGAAAAGAGGTGATGATGCAATATATATTAAAGGAGAAAATTAAAGGATGCTCGTAAACCTATTGTAGGAGACTTTCAAAACAAAATTAGGAGCATTTTAGGGGCACTGAAATGTTTCCTTTTGTGTTTTATGGAAGAAAGAAACTCATACAGGTTTAGAGTGCGAGTAAATGATAACAGATTGGGCATTTTTGAAAGAGTTATTCCTTTAAATCTAATGTTGTATTTGTCTGTCTGTAGATGAGCTTGCAGAACTGGAGAGTATCCGCAAGGCCCTGTCATTTGGCCAGGAGCACAAGTCTTCCTCCTCTTCCTCATGCAGCGCCGTTCAGAGCACAGCGACCGAGAGCCGGGAGAACGGAGACTTGAAGACCGTACAGACGAAGCGAATGAGTCTCACGGACTTCTCGTTCATCAAAGTGTTGGGCAAAGGCAGCTTCGGCAAGGTGAGGGTCACGAATCGGTGCTTTTCAGTTTCAGTGTATGAAAACAAATCAACATCTTCACGTTGCCCTCTCCGTGCTGTAGGTGATGCTGGCTGAGCTGAAAGGCTCAGATGAAGTTTACGCTGTGAAAGTTTTGAAAAAAGACGTCATCCTTCAAGATGATGATGTGGACTGCACTTTAACAGAGAAACGCATTCTGGCCCTGGCTAGAAAACATCCCTATCTGACTCAGCTTTTCTGCTGCTTCCAGACGAAGGTAAAACAGTCACTAAATCAAAACGCTCTAATCTAGACATTTCAAGACATTTCTTTCTTCTGATCGGATTAAACAATTTAGTACTGCAGTCTTACTAATGTCACCTTCATGATGTTCCAAACCCAGTATTACTTTCTTTCTACTGTGAAACAAATTTTTTTTGAGAGAGAGATTTTAGACTTAATGTCCACCTGTTGTCCATTGAATGAAAGTGGATGGAATTCATTCTGTCAATCTCTAAAATAGAGCTTTAAACAATGTCTCATTGTAGCTTATTTTACTTGCATGATGCATTACAAGTCATAGCTACAGTATATGTGAGGAACAGATCAAGTAAATGATGACAAATGGTGAGCTTTTTCTTTAAAAACTAAAACAGTATGTGAATTTGTCATGAACTAACAATACATAATTATTAGTCTACTCTAGGCTTATGTTAATTTGTATATTCACCGTTCAAACTTTTGAGGTCGGAAAGATTTTTGAATGTTTTTGAATGAAGTGTCTTCTGCTCACCAAGACTGCATTAATTTGATTAAATACAATAATATTGTGAAATATTACAGTTTAGATTCACTTTTTATTTTTAGATTTCTATTTTAATTACTGTGGTTAAAAAAGACCAAATTTCAGCAGCCATTACTCAAATCTTCAGAGTCACATGATCCTTAAGAACTCATTCTAATATGCTGATATCTTTGAGGAAACCATTATACGTTTATTTATGATTCTTTGCCGAATTTATTTCAAGTAGAAGTCTTTTGTAACAATGTAAATATTTTTACTGTCTCTATGCAGCGATGGTAGCAATAGTACTAAATATGTTTCAAATTATGAAACTAATGTTCTCAAATTGAAACATATTGTGAAATATCTTGTGAAAAATCACAAACTATTCTTACAGTCCAGAAGATGGCAGAGCCACACAGGATTGATCAGGATTTAGAATAACAGAAGTTGTCCATGAGGGGGCAGTGTGACCTCTTTCTGACACCCGTGTATCACAATGTGGTTTGAGGTGACAGTCTGTAAAGTTGTTTGAAGCAGTATTAAAGAGAGCGAGAGAAGTCAGATGAGGTTATGAAACTTTTAACAAGTTTAGCAATTATAAGTGGTTTATGATAAAATACAAGTTTTATTTTCTAAGTAAAAAAAAAAACAGCATGTGAGTGAAATGAGTTAAAAATAGCCGTCCAGTAAGTTCACAATACTGGTTACTACTTTTAAGTTTGTGTAGGTAATCGCCCAGGGTTCCCAAGCTTCTGCACACGATTGTATTTGCGGATATAGGGAAGATAAGTAGAAGTGGTATGGTTCTATCAATGAACTGTGCTCATTAAAGACTCTGACATCCTTTTCACTAGGGCTTTTATCGCTTTCATCAGTTGTCTCTTCTCTATTTTGCACTTTCACTTCTTTCCGTCTTTTGTTCAGCTTCCCCTCCCATGCCCCAGTTATACTCACAGTGATATCTACTGTCCTCGTTTCTCTTTTTCACTCTTCGACTACCACCCACTGTATCTCCCTTCTCATTCGCCCGCATCCGAGAACACAGGACAAACCGACGGAGGGCAACAAAGCAAGAAACGCAAAGAAAGAAGGGTTGGAGGGGGTAGTAGTGCGGGAAAGGGGCCAAAAGAAGAAGGAAGACTGGATTTGGGGGGAAAGAGGAGTCGTGTACTCTTTTTGAACTGCTGCCTCTGGTTTTAATCAGCTTTGGGATCACGGCCATATTCTTATCAACTTTAATTACGTTGCAGAAATGTAAATAACATTACAAAACTGTTTCTGATGAGGCCTGTTGGGACCATGGGTAGACATGCTCCTGCAGAGAGAAAAGGATATTATATTATTTAAAACTTAACATTAATTAAAAAAATATTTTTTAAAGGATTCTAGCCTACTGATTAATAAGTAATAATGGCTATTATATTATATTATATTATATTATACTATATTATACTATATTATATTATATTGTATTATATTGTATTATATTATAATATATTATTTAAAACTTAACATCAGTTTTAATATTAAAAAAAACTTTATTTAAAGTATTCTAGCCTACTAATTTTAATAAATATGACTAATGACTATTAAATTATATTATAAAAACGTAAGTTCTAAGACTGTAGACATTGTACATTGTATGTATATATATATATATATATATATATATATATATATAAACACACATGTTAGATGTGATTAATCGATTTGACGGCACTATTTATATTATATTACTTATTTTATATTATTAAATTTTAACAACTTTTTGTTAAAAAAAACGTAGCCTACTGATTATTTACAATTATTATATTATATTATATTATATTATATTATATTATATTATATTATATTATATTATATTATATTATATTATATTATATTATATTAAAAGAATAGTTCCCCCAAAATATGGGCATATGACATGATATAGCTAAAAACTATTATGTGAGTGAAGATGTGAGTGAGTATTCTTATTATTGTTTGGTTCATTTAATTAATAATTTTGCATAACTTCCCAACATCTAGAAATAGTGTACAGCAATAGCTTTTAAAGATAAGTGAGTAAGAAGAATAAGATCAGTAGACATTGTGACTTGTGGTTTGTTATGGTTATGGACAATGTGTTAGTGTGACTCCATTCCTAGCTGAGGACAGACACATGAGGTCATTAACACGGTTCGCTATCTCTAGCACTGCCGCAACCCAGAAGCCCTCATGTGCTTCTCTCTGCTACTGTAAAGCAATCTAGACTCAAGTGAGTTCAGTGAACCTGTGCCCTGCCCTGATGATTTAGATGATGTAGTCTTGCTCTGTGTGTCTAAAACATATCTTCTAAGCCTGTGAGTAGTGAAACTGCAGACACTTTTAAATACAGATGCATTGCAAACAATACAGCGAGATGAAGATACGTCATTTTCAATGCTTTTTAAGATCTCTTGCTCTTATTCTCTCTTTCTTTAATTTCAAAGTTGTCTTCATTAGGGCAAAATGTGAAATATATTTCTAGAGACATGCAGTTTCAGATCACTCTCTTTTTGTCAAATCTCAGCTTTGCGTCATTGTCTTATATGCCAAGTTTCTGGTCTCTGCTTTTCTACAATTAAATGGGTGATTTGAGCACATTTTCTTTCTTTCAACCCTCTCTCTCTCGTCTCTCGATGTCTTGCTTCTCTCTTCCTCTTTTTTCAGAGTAAATTGATGAGTTGAATTCGCTCTCAAAACTCTGAACAATGTTGTATTGCAGCCAAACCTGAGCTCATATTTCTCCTGCACGACAACATCTTTTTTCTTAGGCCGTCTCTTTGTCTCCATTGCTCTCCGTTCTAACCTACGTTTTACACCCATCTATTAGACTGCTGGCTCTGAACATCTTTATTTCTAGAAATTGTCAGTGCATCTAATTCAAAATTCTTTTAAAACGTCTTGATTTAGATGTAGAAAGCAGCAGGTCGAACCCTTGATTTTAAAGTTCTCTGTAGCCCCTTGGTTTTATATTATGTATTTGAAAGAATTAACAGAGCAGTTTTATGTCTGTCATTGTATTGTTCATCTAGTTGATATTAGAAAGTAATTAGTATTGCAGTACTTTTTAGAGAGAGTAATTATCACAGTAATCACATTGTTGCTAGTAATAAATTAAGATTAACTTACCAGACACTATTTGTGAGAAAACAAATTTTAAATGAGATACAAAGTCACAATGTAAGATATTAACTTGCAACAATATTGTAATAAAAAGAAAGTCAATTGAGAAACGAAGTCACAATTACAGGAACATTACACACGTTGGGGCATAATTACTTTTTCTGGCTGGTGACGGGTTTCCATAACAGTCATACATTACTGTCACACCCTAATGGTTTGGTCATGGTCATGAAATGGTCATGAAATGCTTGTTTTGTAAAATTCAAACAATTTCTATACACACAATACCATTATAATTTTGGGGCTTATTCCCAGAATTTGTTATGTTTTGTGGTCCCACTTTATATTAGTTGTCTTACTATGGTTTAAGGTTTAAATGTATCAGGTTAAAACTGCTATTTATTGTGTGCATATGTTTTTAATTTGTAGTTATATTTTTAAAATACCTGCATGTAAGTATAGCTGTAATTTATTCTCTAATAACATGTGTAATAACAAAAATGTATTTTAAAAAGTAATTTATTCCTCTCATGGCAAAGTTTAATTTCCTCCCGAAATCATTCTAATATGCTGATTTGGTGCTCAAGAAATATTTCTTCTGATTATCAATGTTGAAAACAGTTAGCTGCTTAATATTTTTTTTCAGGATACTTGTATGAATTTATTTAAAATTGGAATCTTTTGTCTCATTAGAAAATCTTTACTGTTACGTTAGATCAATTAAATGCATCCTTTCTGAATAAACGGTAGTGTAATAATGATAAACATTTTAGAATTACTGCGCAAAACTATTGCCACATTCGGTAGCACTGCAGAACATACAGTCCAGCTGTAATCCGACACGGATTGTTGAAGTTGTTGAGTTGTCTATGTGTATATAGGCTTCTATAGCCTTTCTATAATGCAGATTACAGGTCTTATCATGTTTGTGTACCGTATGTCTGTTTTGTGTTTTTAGCACCGGTTTGTCAGAAGCGTCCTGCACCTGCAGTCTTTAGAAAATAAGCCATTGAAAATGTCTTTCATAACATGTTATATAATCTTGGATGAGACTAAACAGACGTTTCCTTACACCACTCGTCTATTGCAGCAAGACAGAGAACTGCTCTGCATGACACACAGATGCAACGATACACTGTTCTTGTCTACATTCATGAGTCATGACACAATATTGAAATGTCATCTTGTGTCCCCTTTTAAGCTAAAAAAACAGAGTCAGTTTTGACTAACCCAAACGGGGCTCTGCTGTGTCTGCTATCTTCCAATCGGGGCTGCTGTCTAGTGGTCCAACCCAAACGGAAGAAACTATTTGTTCATTTCTAATTAGAGGCAGGAAATGTTTGTTCATATTGGATTGGGTGGGCCTCCTTCAGATTTCTTGGCACATTTACACAAACTATTTAAGCATCCTGTTTAAATTCCTCCTCTCTGAATGAAAAAAATACACAAATGGGCTTTTTGTACATGTACATAAGAGAACTTTGTTCATCAAAAGTCTTGGCTTAAAACAATTTGTGTCAGTCAGGCAGTGTGGAGTATATCAGTGTGATATTTCTGGCAGCACTTCATTATTCTGCATTAAATACCAACCACCACTATTAAGGTTCATTTAATATTCCTATATTCTGGTTGATTTAGTATACTATTATTGTCATTAACCTCCCTGCATAATGCTTAAGAAGTATGGCTACAGTGATATTGGTACAAAATAACAAGGTCCTTTCATGTAAGTACTTTTAAAACTCTGTGATTTGTTCAAATTTCTTTAAATTCTAAACCTAATCGCAAGGGCAAACCTACATAGCCGGGTAAACTGTGATTTCATGTAGCTTTACTGGAAATACATTTCTCTGAATTGGGGACTTGTGTTGTTTTATTAAAAATAAAACATGTATTTAAATGTTTGATCATAATCTATGTAGATAAATAAATCAATGGATTATGATAAGATGTGTTTACAGTTTTATATATATATATATGCCTATTTCCTCATTTATAGAAAGGGAACACAAGAATCCCAAACTATTTTTTTAATGTTTCCTTATTAGAGTTACAAGAAATGTTTCCTACTGTGAGTCAGAATGTGAGCTTCATTTTATCATCCAAGTGCCTGTGCTGGAATTATTTTATGTTTATTGTGTTTTCAGGTAATAATATAAGGAAATGAGCTTTGTTGTCTGTTGGTGCAGTGCTTAACTGTTATCTGGACAGCTTTATGTGAAGCCACTAAATCTAATACTGGGTGTGGAGTCCTGTTCTATGAAAATTAATATATTTTTTGTCTTCTTTCTCATTCTCTCTCTATCTCTGTAGGATCGGTTGTTCTTTGTTATGGAGTATGTAAACGGAGGAGACCTGATGTTTCAGATCCAGCGCTCACGAAAGTTTGATGAAGCTCGTTCCCGTTTCTACGCAGCTGAGGTCACATCAGCACTTATGTTCCTGCACCAACATGGCGTCATCTACAGGTATACTCACACCAAGTAGAAATCAACAGGATATGTTATTCAGAGCCTGTTTTACTTTCATAATGTGTCATTTTTTATGAATGATGAATGAGTTTTATGAGATGGGTTTTATGATATTTTTGGGGGGAAAAATATAGCGCAGGACTTAATTTTATCAATCAAAAAACTAGTGGATTGTGAAAAGTATTGCATACCAAAATGGAGCCAGGTGGTTGGTAACACTTTAGTCTAGGGTCCAATTCTCACTGTTAACTAGTTTTTTTATTTTTTATTTGCATGCATATTACTCGAATTTTAGCTGTTTATTAGTGCTTTTAAAGCAAATATTAATGAGTTAATCTTACTAACTATTAATAATAAGTAATTAGGAGTTTATTGAGGCAAAGGTTGTAATTAATAGTTAGTTTGTTAATAATGAGTTAAACTGAAGTGAGACCAAAAAAATACATTTTATTGTATATTCTTAATACCCATTTATATTCTTACTGTACACAATATTGACAAAATTGACTATATTATTTCATGTTACATCTTTTTTTTTGTGACACTAGCTGGCACACTTTAAAGACACACACAGTGTGACACACACTTGTCATACCATGAGATTGCAGTGTGACATCAGCTCCCACAAATGATGCCAATCCTACCCAGGCATCATGCTAACTGGCTCTCAAAGACTTTAAATGCTTCTTTTTGTACCAACGCTAAGGGTAGATGCTAATGCTATTTTACCCTGGAGAGTTAGAAAAAGATCACGCCATTGTCTCTGTAGCATTTCGGATCAGCTAACCTCCCTCAATGAAATAAAGTCACCATTCAGGCCAGAGCAGGTTTCATGCTCCCCAGGGACAGCCGAAGATACAATGTATACTGTGGGCTGACCTCATCTCTGAGCTCTTGATACACTTCAGATTTTTTGAACAGAGGCTGATAAGATGAAACAACTGTGAAAAGTCTCAAAAGACTAATCCATTCCCTTTTTTCAGGGTCTGCAGACTTCACACAAATCTACAAGAGAAGCCCCCTCATTTTCTTAGCATTTCTTTATGCACACACTCACCCATTCTAACATGTATTTACACACACACACGCACAATAAAGCAACAAATACAGTTGTAAGTCTTGTTTAAAAGGATGAGAATGTCAAAATACAGTTGTCGGCCTTGTTTGGACTTTGGAGTGATAAATATGGCAAAATACAGTTGGCAGTCTTGTTTAGAGTGATAAATAAGGCAAAATAGAGTTGCCAGTCTTGTTTAGAGATAAATATGGCAACATACAGTTTTCAGTCTTGTTTAGAGAGATAAATATGACAAAATGCATTATTCAATACACTTCTGTCTGCTCTCATATGCACAGGACTATTTGAGTGCGACACCTGTTGATAAAAACTGTTGTCAATCCCAAACATTGACTATGTGAAGTTGTGAAAGTAGCCAAACACATTAATTCTTTCCCAGGTACAAACTTATATGTTTATGCAAAATCTCGCTGTCTTTCTGTCTATCACGCAATCAGACTTGCAAAAGATAGGCTGCGAAGGGTCACGTGACACGAGAAAAGCACAAAAAGCAAAATTTCTTATCCTCAGATTAGGTGAACACTGTAGTACTGTGATAAACCTACTGCTGACTGCAGCAAGATACAAGAGGTCAAATTACACACGACCCCCTTTGAGGCAGTTGTCATTATTGCAGTACTAACGCCAGTATCTTCCCTTCTTAACAATGTTATCCTGTCAAAAGTGCTTCCCATATCAGTGTCCTGGTGCTTGTATTGATTTATTCATTCTGGATCTGCCTGCTGCCTTCGACACCGTGAATCATCAGATCCTTCTGTCCACCCTCCATTGGTTTGACTCCTACAGGTATGTCCTTCAGGGTCACATGGAGAGGCAAGGTATCCAAAGCACATCAACTGACCGCAGGGATTCCACAGGGTTCAGTTCTTGGACCGTTCCTCTTCTCCATTTACACCACATCACTGGGACCAATCATGTAGGCAAATGGTTTCTTTTACCATTGCTATGCTGATGACACAAAGCTCTAAACCTCATTTCAACCAGATGATCCCACAGTAGCTGCACGAATCTCAAGCTGTCTGGCGGACATCTCGGCATGGATGAAGGAACATCACCTGCAGTTCAGCCTGGCAAAGACTGAGCTTCCCGTCCTCCCTGCCAATCCGTCTCTACAGCACAACTTCTATACAGCTAAAGCCTGTTTTAATGCTTCTGCGTCGAATCGACGGCGTACCCCCGCAGACCCCGCTGCGTCGACGCGAACCCCTCTCCGACCCCTCCGCCGTAGCTCGACGTGCACCTCCAAAAAATTGTAACTATGCGTCGAGGCGACGCAGACAGCAAGGGCTGTGATTGGTCAGATTATACATCACTTCAGGAGTGTAGCTTTTCCGGATTCCCCCTCCCGCTATAGCGCAATTTTTAACATTTGCACCCTCGTACTGATAATTATAATACACTTATAAAGGAAATTAAAAAAAAAAATAAACTAAAAATAAACTGTGCTGTTTTTTTTTTATTTCATTGTTAATATATGTCTATATTCTTTCTTTTTTGCTCGCAATGAACTTCAATCAATAAATAAATCAACGTTTGTTTGAAACACAGTTTGTTGTTTATTTTCAATACAATGGTCATGGTTACATCATTGATAATACAGTACTACATTATCCTGCGATGGCACTGTTTCATGTGGAGACTTCAAATCCTTCAAGTCATTCCGAACAGCTATGGCAGCTTGGGTGGAAAGGGCCCGGGACATCCGTGTTGGTTCTATGGGGACAAAGTTTGTGTCGTCTTGTTTGTCAACATCGATTAGTTCCAGCTGCAACAACATTCTCTCTCTTTTGCTCGCGGCGCACGGAACCAAAACAAACTAGCAAAGAGATTCGCGAACCACACACCCCCCTAGTGTTCTGGCGGTGAAATGCACCGCGATGCAACGCAACTTGACGCAGAAGCACAAAACGGCCACGACGCCGTAGTAGTGACGACGTAGCTACGCCGTGGAGTTGACGCAGAAGCATAATGAGGCATTAAGCCCCTTTCAATTGCCAGAACGCCTTCTGTGTGAACGCAAACACGACCGGGGATTGATACCGGCATCGATGCCGGGCTGGGGACCTAGTAACATTGCCGGAATCAGTCCCGGAGCGCGCGCTGTGTGAACAAAAGCCAGGACAGTGATCACGCTCGTGCCATTGCGCGACTCTGTTGCTCTTAGAAGAAAGTTTGTGTTCGTCATAAACAAAGAGAGGACGAACAAATGTCTGTAATCTGGAATGAAGCAGAGACCAGGAGATCCTCACTATCTGCGCTGAAGCTGAGATTGTTCACCAGCTATGCGCGTATTAATCAATGGTATGCGCGTATACATGTTTTCGACACATACGTTACTCGTCTCATCCTGATGTCATGTTTCTTTCCGGGATCTTTATGAGTTGTGTGTGAACGCACTCACAGATCCCGGCAAATCACTGGCAGTGTGAATGAACTGAAATCAAACAATCCCAAGACAAATGCCGGGTCACATTATCTGTGTATTTTCCGGAATCTCTGGAAGGGGCTCTAGATTCATCATCAATGACACTATCAAGAATTGGTGACACCATCAAGTCGGTCAGAAATATATGATGACCAGCTGACCTTCAGAGACTAAATTACAAAGACCACTTGATCATGCAAGAAGTGGTTGACTATATCTGTTGTGCAGGTCAATGCTTGTCTTCCATACAGAATTGTGGTCTGATTAAGCCCGTAAACTATTCCGTTTCTTAGCTTCAACTCTCTTTACTTTTTCTCTTTGTTCATGAATGTTTATCAGATATTTCTTTTTTGACTGAAGGTTGATCTGTTGCAGAGCCTCATGTTGAAGTGATGAGGGACTCTATGGAACAATCACTCCACAAACAAAGGGAGCACAGGACGGCGTTTCAATAGGGCCTAATTAAATGTGTACATGCACATGTGTGTATGTGCGGGAGTCCATGAATCATGGCATGTGTACGTGTTTGCGCGATTGTCTACTGGAGCTCAAAGGAAGTCAAATCCAAAAGGCGTCCAAAAGTCCACTTATTGAAATAGTGACCTATAAATATATTTAAATAGAATTTTAATGTTTTGTAATATATATTAGTGTCAATTTGTTAATTTGTTTCACATTTTTTGTTAAACGGTTTTCTGCCATTCTTCTCCTTAGATCCTCTCAAGCTTTGTCACGTTGGGTGGTAACTATTGGTTGATGGATATTTTCAGGTTTGTCCAGAGATGTTCGATTAGGTTCAAGCCCAGGCTCTTGCTGGGCCACTCAAGGACATTTACAGAGTTGTCCATCCGCCACTCTTGCATTGTCTTAGCTCTGTGCTTAGGGTCACTGTCCGGTTGGGAGGTGAACCTTCTGCCCTGTCTGAGGATCTGAATGTTCCGGACAAGGTTTTCATAAAGGCTATCTCTATATTTGCTGTGTTGAGCTTTCCTTCTACCCTAGTCTCCGCCACTAAAAAAAACACCCCCACAGCATGATGCTTCTACCACACACTTTGCTGTTGAGATGGCATTGTGCAAGTGATGAGCAGTGCCTGGTTCCCTCCATACATGATGCTTGGAACTGAGGTTCATCAGACCAGAACGTTTGAGAGGGTGCTTTAGGTGCCTTTTTGCAAATTCCAAGTAGGGTTTCATGTGTCTTCACCGAGGAGTTGCTTGAGTCTGGCCACTCTGCCTTAAAGTAGATAAGTGGAGTGTTGCAGGGATGTTTGTTCTTCCTATCCTCCCATCTCCATATATGATCATGGAGGTAAGTTCCTCCCATCTCCATATATGATCATGGAGCTCAACTAGAGTGACTATCAACTTCTTGGTCACCACTCTAACCAAGTCCCATCTCCATTGATTCCTCAGTTTGGCAAGGAGCCCAGCTCTAAGAAGAGTCCTACTTGTTCACATCTTCTTCCATTAAGGATTATGGAGGCTACCTGAT